TATATTTTGAGTCTCAATGTTTCGCTTTTTTGAGTGATGATGATTGTGGTTTCGATGAGATCTTGTTGTGAATCCTTTAAAATCCCCAAATTCACAAAACCCTAAAATCTCTAATAAATTGACAACTAATTGAAATTTTCGTTATAATTCAACAAAGGAACCGATTAAAAATTTAGGAAAACACAAACACATCCGTTTCCTAACAAAATCTGGGTTCTTCTTATGCCTATTCTCTTTGCCTTCTTCTTCATCTTCTTTTTCTTCTTCTTCTTCTTCTTAAACCCGGATTTAGTGATTTTCGATTTCCTCATCTTCTTCTTGAAACCTGCTTTAAACATAATGAAATAGAGATGTTCTTGAAATTTTTGGAAGGGAGGAAGGAAGAAGATGAAGCAGTGTTCCCCGTTTTCTCTTTTTTTTTTAAGCTAAATTATGTAATTATTTTTGCTGTTTTAAAAATAATTATGTAATTACTTTTAATTATTTAGCAAAAATAAATAAAATTAAATAATATTTTAAAATATTTTTTTAAGTCAATACCGGTCAACGCCGGAGGTTATAGAATTCCGGCAAGTGGTACACCGGAATATGATGGTTATGGTGTTTGCAACATGACTTATGTTAGTTCGTGGATGTCACCATGTAATGACAATACTTCGTGTAGCTAATGATACATTTTTAAAGTCTGTATGTGTGGCTATGTGTTGGTATCTACTTCATGTAGCTGAGAAATATTTTTCCTTTAATTAATCAATATAAAATTTTTAAAAAATCTACTTGCAAGTGCAAACTATTATGTGTTTTAGGTTTCATGTTTGCAAAATCCTATTGAAACTTGAAAGGACTCCAGCAATTCAGTCACGTAAGAGGTGTGATGGTGGTATCCTTGTTAATCAACAACAAGGGGAGCATATTTGGTGTCTGTTATTTCTTGCAAATTCTACTAATAATTTAAAAGAAAATTGTAAGTTGTTGACAATTTTGATCGAATATTTTGTCTCCAAATTTCAGAAAGTGTAAACGATGAAAATAAACTGCTACCTACGCATAAATAAATATTAAAACAAAATATCAATAAATTATAGATAATTATTATCTTGGCCGAGAAAAAGTTAGAATTTTGTTTTTAAATATAATTGAAAAGAGGTTTTAAAAAATATTGGGGGCCGAAGTCATAGCTTTATTGGGCTGGCCCAGGTCCGGCCTTGTAATTGTAACCCTAATAAATACATGGATCGTGGAAATTCAGCAATAAACCCTAGAGCTAAAGGGGGAGGCTTTCGAAACCCAAAATTCCCATCTCTTGTTTCTTGGTTGGACCAACCGGCTCCGATCCCTCTCTGTCTTGTCGTCATTTTATCATCAACTTAGAGACGGCCGCCGGAGGTTACGTTAGTCATACTATGCATGTACCCTTTGTTGTTTAGTCGCCGGCTTAATTAGATCTCTCTCCTTTTCACATCATTTATCTGCGATTTCTCTCGATCTTATTGATTGATTTTAGTTTTGCATTGTAATATATGAATCTCTGGTGGAGTCACTCTTACTTAACTTAGTTTTTTTTTAGTTGTGAGAAAGAGTCTCATTCTAATCTGCTTGCTTCCGAAATTCGTCATTTTTTCTTATTAAATATATAGTGGTGAAGATTGGTAAATTCTTTTGTTAATTCTAAATCGTTTTTTCTTGTATATAGCCATGAGGTTTGTGCAAGGGCGTCGTTTGCTTGCATCGCTTGGCAGACGCTTTCCTCCTCGGCAACCTAAACCTACAGAGCAGCCAGAGCGGCCTCGAATTCGATTGCGGCCGGGAGATCCTTATGGTAGGCCCCGGCCTCGTGACTTCGTCATGGAGATGATTGAGCGTATGAAACTACTTACTGCGGATGAAAAGTTGAAATTTGGCTATATATTCAGTGAGCTGCTGGGTCTTCCAAAACCTCTTGAGATAAAAAGCAAAGATAAGAAATTTGCTGTGAAGTTGGTCAAGTATGACCCTGATAAAAGGTCCAAAGTGCTTAAAGAGGTTGCATGGATCAAATCTACAGTAGTAGTGATCAAACATTTGGCCGAGTTGGGTCTGCAACCATCGCTCCAATGTGTGCAGGACGTCCCCTACTCCCTCATTAAAGATGATGTCACAAAGGAAGAAGCTAATGAAATCATTGCCAAGATCCAAGCTGCTGGTGGAGTCGCTGTTATGGAGCCAATGGAGTGATCATCAGCAACTTTGTTTTATTTCTAATTGTGTGTGTTATTTTATGTTTGTCTTGTGATTACAGTAGGTACGTAGTGGATGTTTTGTATGAGAACAAATTAATCACCCTAAACCTTATCTCGTGATGCATCTCCTTCTCTCACTTTATTGTTGTGTTTATTTCTTCTTGTAATGTTTGCCGTCATGTGAAGTTCTTTCTTGAAGCACAAGAATATTTTCACTGGTTACCTGAAATGAAAGTGATCTTCGTTATTTTATTGGTCGTGAACCTCAAAAGATAATGCTGGAATCTTAAAAGCAGAGGAGAAGTTTGCTGTGAAGTTGGCAAAGTTTGACGCAGTTACAAGGATGGAAGTGGTTAGAGAAGTTACATGGGTCCAATTGACAGAAATAGTGATCATATCATTGCCCGACTTGGGTCTGGTGTTCTGGCCAATGTCCCGTCCGTGATTAAATAAAATGTCTCAAAGGAAGAAGCTAACAAAATTATTGCCAAGATCGAAGTTGCTGGTGGAGTGACTCTTAACGGAGCCATTCGAGTGATGACCAACTTAATTTATTGATTTTCTTTAGTGTTTGGTATGCTTTTTAGTGGGGTGATCACATCTTGCTAACTTTACAGTAAAATAGATGTTTTGTAATTCAAAAATCAACTGAGTTTTCAACAACTATTTACTCGGTTTCCATATCTTAAATTGTGTTTCTCAATGACATGAGACAGTAAGAAGTTCAGATCCGAGTCTTCGGTATTCCCTCCACCGAGTCTTTTTAAATCTTGTGTATCATAACATAAAAATGATAGATTCAAATTATCTATACTTGAGTTCTTTTTATAAAGGTCTTTATTCGTCTCCTCGAATACTTTCAAAGCTTCGACAACTTTTCCCATTTTCCTTAAGCATGTAAGAATGCAATTATATGTGATCACACTCGGTATAGACCCCTTTGCCCTTTGTATCTCTGGGAGACTGTATGCTTCATCAAACTTTCCAGCCGAACCATAACCCATAATCATCGTGTTGTAAGCATCAGTGCATGGAACCCGTCTACTCTTCTCTAAATGCTCAAACATCTCTACAGCTTCATCCAATCTGTTTGCCCTTTGTCTCTCTGGGAGACTGTATGCTTCATCAAACTTTCCAGCCGAACCATAACCCATAATCATCGTGTTGTAAGCATAAGTGCAAGGGACCCGTCTATTCTTCTCTAAATGCTCAAACATCTCTACAGCTTCATCCAATCTATTTGCCTTGCACAGAACTCCTATCATGCTGGTATAAGTGACTTCATCAGGCTTTAAACCATTCGCTTCAATCTCATGAAAAAATTTCCATGCCATATCAACCTTGCCCACTTTACCAAAGCTATCTATACATACATTGTAAAGAACAATGTCGGCATCAAGAGAGCTGCTCTTCATCTCATCAAGCAAAGATAGAGCAGAATCAACTCGACCCTCTTTGGCAAAGCTCCGAATCAATGTTGTAAAAAGATGAACGGTTGGCTCATATCCTAACTCCTGCATTTGCTGAAAGAGTGTCAACATCATATCAGAATGATTAACTGCTGAGAAAGCACCGATAAGAGTTGTGTAAGCTGAAAAAGCAGGTCGGAACTTGAACTTCCTCATATTCTGCACAACATCAAAACCTTCCCTAAGCTTATTAGCCTTAACGCAGCTCAAAACCATCTCAATACAAGTGTTAACAGAAGGGCCAAATCCTGCAACACTCATTTCTCCAAGAATCTGGTCCAAAGCATCAAAATTCCTACAACGAGCCATCACTAAAAGCAAGGAGTTGTATGATTCGGGACAATGAGGCAGCTCGGTTCTTCTCTCATACCAACGGAAATACTCAATCGCCCGATTAACATCTTTCAGCCTCCGTAAAACCCCAATGACAAATTCTGGTTGTGGTTTAAAGTTTAGAGCAGATAGAGCATTCTCAGCTGAAGGACCCCAAGCACCAGTCTCCAAAACATTGCAAATATCATTAACAATTTGCCTATTACCCTCAAATGTATATGGTTTCTCATGATTTTCGCCATTATCAGACAAAGATGATAAGTGCTTACAAACTGCGACAACACGAGATGATTTTATATCTGTATGGAATATAATTCCTGCAGTGTAAGAAAAAAATAACACAAATGAGGATCAAACTAATTTATACTACTAATGAGCGAAGAAACAAAAACAAATTTTGTTCTTGCGAATCCCACCATAGAATAGTTTATATAGGATTCATCAATATATAAGCTACAATACTATAAAGAAACGACCAGAATTCAGCTCAAAATCTAGCAGATCAAACACTGAAATGCGCATACACAGATTACCTGGTCTTAATAGCATCCGCATCTTCCTGATTGTCCTGTTCCAAACCGCCGATTTATCTCAAAGGTTTAACACGATCGACTGAAGCAGATTTCAACTAAAAAAATCAAAGCTTTTATTTTTAACGAAATTCTGAAGTGAAAAGCCCAGCTTTCAAGAGACGAGTGAGTGAGTGAGTATAGAGGGTTTAACGAGAAGCAAAACATAGGTTTAGCCGAATAAGAAGACCCAGAAACCTCCTTTACGGCTAGAGGGTATGAGAAAAGTCAACAGATTTGAGTTTGACCTATCTCTCTTCCAAAACAAAACCCGCCCGGGTCTATTGTCCGGGTCGGAATCTGTGTATCGGGAGCGTCGCGAATCGGAAACGCCAGTGAGTTTAATGAAAAATTGAAACTTGCCTGCTTCCGAGAGTTATTGCATGAAAATCAATCTAGGGTTTTGAACTCTGAATTGGGGGATTTTGACCTTTCAGTTTTGTGGGATCGAACTTTGAATTTCTAAGGTTATGGTTCCTTGTGTTTCAGACCAATGGATGGCATGAGCAGTTACCACAAACGCAATTCCGGTTTAAACCCTTGTAAAAACTCCAGTTTCTCACATTCATCAAGAGCCATGGCTCCAGGAATTTACCGTTACCCAGAAGTGAAGTCTCCATTGCGGAGACAAGTTCATGCGCCTTCGCGGATCCTCAAGAGCGGTCGAGATCGTAGCACACGACAAGGTTCTGGTAATGTGTTGGGAACTTTTCTCACAAGGAACGATGATATGTTGAAAAGAAATGCACTTGATTTGCCTTTGCGCTATAGAACGGATAGAGAAGTGGTTGATGTTGGTGATGAGCTTGGAGATGTGGAAATGATATCTGATGATACAAGTAGGGAGGGTCTCGGAAACGTGGCTATGGAGGTGGACGAGGTGGAAGAGAAGGCAGAGATGGGAAATGGATTGTTTTCTGAGGTTGTTAGTATGAAAAATGGGAGCTTAAGGGTGGATGAATGTTCTCAAGATAATAGTAGTTCACTCGTTGTGAATCGCCCTGTGACCGATGTCACGAGTTTTGAAGCATACAGAAAGGTTCTCCAGAGTGCTGAGAACCGGACTTCGAAACTGAAAGACAGAGGCTTTGGTGATATTTTGAAAGAAAGAGGTTGTGCTTTACTGCGAAGCCTGTTTTCTTTTTCTTTTTGGAAACAAGATAAAGAACCAGTAGAGGTTTGGCTCATTTCCTTTATCTTTATAGTTGTGGCTAAAGTTTAAGCGTTTATGCTTCGTGATATGAATCGCTTGGTTTCTTTTGATTTTGTGAAATCAGGTTGCCTCATTGTTCTTTAATTGATTATCAGGATGTACAACGTGAGGCATTTCTAACTCTTTCTAGAGAGGAGGAGACAGCAGTCAACCGTGCATTCTCCGCTAATGACTCGTATGATTTTGATTCTTGCTCTCTTGTTTACTTTCTATCTTGTTTACTTGCTCTGAGGATTCATATTTGTTTTTGGGATGTAATTTTATGAACGTCTCTCACTGTAGGAACATCTTGGTTGCACATGAGAATTCAAATATTGAAATTACAGGGAAAATCCTAAGGTGCCTTAAACCAGGTGAATGGTTGAACGATGAGGTTAGTCAACGAATTTAAATCTCACCTGAGTTCTTCTTAGAGATTGGATAGAAATTTTTTGTCCGATTAGAACCTCTATGATTTGGTAAAACCTTGGGCTTTGTTCTATCATTCTATGTAGGTCATTAATCTTTATCTGGTATTGCTGAAAGAAAGGGAAGCTAGAGAACCAAAGAAGTTTCTTAAATGTCATTTTTTCAATACATTTTTCTTCACTAAGGTAATACCCATTTCTATTGCTAATGAATTTTAGATTCTTGCCCCTATATATGCTCATGAATTTTAACAAGAAGACATAACCTTTAACCACACCTCAGTTATTTAATTCGGGGACTGGATACAACTACAGCGCAGTCAGAAGATGGACATCAATGAAGAGGTTGGGCTATCATCTCAAAGACTGTGACAAGGTAAACTTGTTGTGTGTTTCTCCTTTTTGAGATATTCAAACTTTTTTTTTTCATTTTACCATCTAAGAGACCTTGTTTGTTGTCAGATATTTATTCCTATCCATATGAACATCCACTGGACTTTGGCTGTAATTAATATAAAGGACCGGAAATTCCAGTATCTTGACTCTTTCAAAGGAAGGGAGCCTAAAATTCTCGATGCACTGGTAATATATAAGGAAACCATGTTTTGTATTATAACATATATATCTTGATTCTTTAGTTTTTCATTTGTCAGGCTAGATACTTTGTCGATGAAGTGAGGGACAAGAGTGAAGTAGACCTTGATGTAAGTCGATGGGGACAAGAATTTGTCCAGGACCTTCCGATGCAGAGAAATGGGTACCGTCTTCCTAATAAAGATGTCAGCTACTACTAGTTCATACATTCATAGTAACTTTGTCTCTGCATTTTGTAGATTCGATTGTGGAATGTTTATGGTGAAATACATCGACTTCTACAGCAGAGGTTTGGATCTTTGTTTCACTCAGGTAAAATAGCAGAAAGTTACTAAACCTGCCATTGTCTTTAGTAAGTAGGTCAGTGTCATTTTGAAAGACGTAAGAGTGCTTAAAATAGAAACTGTTTGTGTGATCTCCACAGGAACAAATGCCATATTTCCGGGATAGGACAGCGAAGGAGATTCTGCAACTGAAAGCCGAGTGATGTCAGCAAAATAAGGAAACTCTTAAAGAATAGTTTTGAAAGGTCTTCTTCTGTATGTAGATGGTGTTGAGAAATTTAGATGCACTTACGTGTTTGATATTTTGATGTACATATAAAAGGGTAACAGTGTGGTTCTCTGATGATGAGGCTTGATAGTGAAAATCGAATTATTGTTAAAGATTCTAGTTACACTATCAGATACTCTGATTTTGAATTTTGATATTATATTAATAGATTATAATTTTAAATTAAAGGAATTTGTCTTAGAGATCCACATTAAAGTGTCTGGTCTGTGTATTTGAAGATTTAGGTTTGTCTCTGGCATGCGGCTGCGAGACTAATTTATTTAGGTTTCTAGAACAATATAACTAGCAAGAGTCCCACATCGGAAGAAACTTTTATGATGATTGCTTTTGTTCGGGTATAAATAAGGAGGGCTTATTTTGGTGGAAACTCATCTTTGCGCTTGGGGCAATGACGCAGCTAATGAGGTTCTAACCGAGGCGCGTCTATTGCTGGTTGAAAACTATTTCCAAACCCCCTCCTGGGCCTAAGCTTGTCTTGGGTCCTTGAGAATTTCTGGAAGGGCTCCCTTTGGGGTAAAGCCCTACAATATTCTAGTCTTAATTTTTTGTTTATGGAATTTAGAAAAACTTGTAAGAGGTAGAATTTATAGGACGTCTCTTTGATTGGAATATTACCAAAAACTACAAAAATGTGAGTGTGTTATCTGATGATGACGCCTGATAGTGAAAATTGGATTGTTGTTTCAAAATTTTAATTTTTCAATTTCAAGTATACTTTGATTTTTATTTATTTTTAATATTATTTTTGTACTTTTAGAGTTGTTTAGAATGTGGAAGCCCCCTTGGTCCATTGGTTGACTAAGGGTTAATTAATGCTTTTACACCAAGATGTCTGGGGTTCGAGTCCCAGGTATTGCGATTTATTAATAAATTTGCATATTAAAAGAGGCAAGTGTGCATGAGATCTCTAGCGAAGTACAATTATAGCCGTTCGCCAGGATTCTACGCAGAGAGAGAAGTGTCGTCAGGTCGTGGATCATTGAAGGTGTCCGTCAAGAGCATGGAGAAGGAAGGGTCGTCTGTCGTGGATCTAATAAGGGTCGGAAGGAATTGTCCGTTGTAGAATCGTCTATGTAACAGTTCTCATAATTTGTAATAAATAATAAATCTAGACGTCAAAAAAAAAAAAAAGAGTTGTTTAGAATATAAAGAAATTTGTCTTAGAGAATTTTCCCTGTAAGTAGTAACATGAACGTTGAACGGTACGAATAAAAGGGATATGAAATTATTATTTCTATAGGATTTTGCAAATGAGAAATCAGAAATGTCTCAACTATCATCAGTTCTCACGTGGACATGTGGGTACGAGTCCGAAACTCCAATGTGTCCCCCATCAAATATACTCCTCATATCACCATTTTATTACAATAAAACTTTCAATTTGTTTTTCTTATCAATTTATTTTCCTAACAGACCTCAATAATCTATTTTAATTTGATTACACTAAAATCTTCAGCATTTCAGATTATGCTTAAACGCATTGGCATACTTATTTTTGAAATCCAGAACCAGAGAGCTAATTAAAATTTTGGGATTAATTAATCGTAATCACATGTTTACGTAATTTATAGTTTGACTTCAACTGTCACAAAATAAAATAAAAGGAAAAACCAAAACAAAAAATCGAATAAAGAAAGACATAAATATATATATATTGTTATCTCCCAAAAAAGAAAAAGAGGGAAAAAACTAGATCTGAAAATACGACGTCGCATCAGTCATCGGAACCATCATCTCCGCCGAAGATGGAGAAGCGGTAGTAGAGTAAGAACAAGATCAGTACGAGGAACAAAGCGACACCGACGGGAGATCCGCTAACCCGGTGAATCGATTCGGGTTCTCCGGTGGAGAAAATGGCCGATACGAAGGAACCACGTTCCGACGAGAGGAACTGGATAGTGAGGAGGAGGATGATGGGAAGTAAGAGAAGTCCCACCGGACTAAGAAGCTCTGCGATCGCATCTGTAATGGCTTCACCACCGTCTCCGATGAAGAAGGGAACAAGCACTACCAATGCAACAACGACGGCGAGTATGATTCCGTGTGGCGCAGATCCGCCACCGCCTCCGCCTCCTACAACGCCTTGCCGATCTTGATACATTGATACTTAGTGTGAATCACAGAGAGTGTGTTTTTTTGCTTTTCTCTTTTCTTTGGTTACACAGTTGAAAATGGAGATTTGAGAATTGGTTTTTCGTTTGTTGCTTTTTTAAAATTATAGGGGAACGAGGGACGCGTTTGTCTTTTGAAAAAGTTTAAAGCATTTCCCATGCGTTTTTTTTTTTTTTTTTAAAAGTTTTCTTCGAAATTTCTACGTCATTTACAATATTAATATGAGAAGGTAAAATATCTTTCGCTGACCAAAACTTGACTTGTAAAGATATTGTCTATTGTATATATATATTTTTTCAACATCTATTTATATAATTTAAAACACGATCAGGATTAGGTATTTAGGTTGTGTATGTAGATATCACATGTTTAAATTTTTATTTTTTAATGTGATACCAAATTCTTACATAATATTATGATTGTAACTTTATAAATAAATAAAAACAATTCAATGAACAAAAAAAAAGCTTATTGTGAGCGTTGTAAACGTTAGGTGGAACTATATAGACCATAAATCATCTTTTGATTAAATCTATTACAAAAGTTATATAAAGTTAATAATCTCACCAATCAGTCAATCACACTCTTAATAACAATATATGACTATTAGTTGGATCAGTAGTATTAATTAAAGTTTTTGAATTTTTTGAAAACGATTAAGATTGTGACTATTAGTTGGATCATCTTTTTGTGTATATGACAATTAATTTCACTAAGAATATATATGCGTAAATATGATAAACCTATAATCTTAACTACATTTGAATCTAAACCGAACATAAGATATACGAAGTTAAACAAGATTCAATCCCACAGCTTTCATCGATTACAATTAACACCAACACCAAGGACATAAGAATTAAGATCAATTTGTTGGATTGCGAGAAATGGGAGGGAAATGATCTCTTTGACCATTTTTGTATTTTGTTGTATTTGTCCTTTCTTTTATTTGCCAACGCTCATAATATTTTCGTTTCCCCGTGACAGAAAATTCTCAATTTCCCTTCTTTTTCATGGGGCCCAAAATTTTAACCATTTGTAACAATATTCTCCTATAACCAACCCCAAAGCCATTAACCTAATCAATTTAAGCAAAAAATGTGTTTGGGACAAAATAGATTCCTTCATCAAACTTCATCAAACTATAAGCCAACATCTTCTTATCCACTAAGCTAATAACATTAGAAAACAAAACCTCACTATGTAAGCTGTGAAAGAGTAGAATAGTAGTCTAGTGGATTTTCTCTATTCATTTCTCTAAGTTATATATGTTATGGGTCCGACGGGTCCAAGTTCCATTTAGTGTGTGTATGTTTAAAATATTGGGATAATATAAAACAAATCATAGCCTCCTTAATATTCTTTCGTAATGCTGTTTCAATATGTGTAAAATAGTAGGTATATATAGGTTAACTACGGATAATTAATTGAGAAAGTAAACTTATACACAGAAAGTATAATGAGACGATGGTTGGGAAATGAAAAATGAAATACTAATATGAATCATATGATTAAAAAGCTAGTTAGGATCTTTCTCTTGCGTTTTCCTCAAACACACGCAACACTCTTGACTTTTGTTGGTTGTGCCTTGTGACAGCAAAAGATTACAAAGTAGGAGTGTAGGACCAATCATTTTCTTTTGTTCTGGAGTTTGGCTGGTTCCTTCACGAGACTACATTGTTCTCATACACACACACACACACACACCCTCTCTCATCTCTAATCTCTAACTTCACTTCCTCTCTCATCTTATCCCATAGATAAAACCATCTAAACTTGTGTGCAACAAAGTATGTGCTGAAAATGGCTTACCTTTCATCTTCTCAATCGAGTTTTATCTCATGTAATGAGAATTCATCTCTTGACTCGATTCTAGTTTCGATCAACGACTACATTCTTGGCGTGATATCAGACCCCGAAGCATGGATTTCGCTTAAGCAGAAATGCATCACATTGCTCAGCATTGAAGAAGATAATACTCTGTTTGATGATTTCTCTTCTGAACACTCTGCTCTCTCGAATCTCTATTGGGGAATCGATAGCATCGAAACGTCTATACACCCCGAATGCTCAGAAGAGAAGACGTCTCGTCTGAGAAACTCAGAGAGAATGCTTCAAATGCCTGCGTTGCTTGACGAACAAGGGACCACCACTTCTGGTGTTCCAAACACAATCTTGGTTTCTTTCTCTTACTTTTACCTCTCCATTGTAAGCTATCTCCAAGGTGATTCCTTGCAGTCCACATTGCATTTTCTCCAGTCGGTTTTGGTCTCGCCGGAGATTGTAAGATCTGTCATTGCCCCTGAACTTTGCGAGAGCATTTTCTTCACTCCTGGTGTGTACAAGTCAGATGAAGAGATCAGAGAGATTGCAAGAAAGTATAAATACAGAGCAACTTATTACCAGGTTATGTCCTATGGAGAGACTCATCAGCCGCCACGTGAATGTACAGAGAAGCCGCTTAGAAGTCAGAAGAAATATGGGTAAGGGTTCAAAGCTTATACTCAAATTAGATTGGTTTTGTAAAAATTCAATAATCATATTCAATGTTCCTAAATACTAACCTCTATTCACATGAACAGGCAAGAAATATTTACGGCTAATGCACATTCAGTTGCAGAGAAGCTACAGTTGTCAGAAACCTGTGAGGTAGGTTTACTAATGACAAGACATTCTTTTGAAGATTCTCAGTGTTATCTAATTATCAAAATTGGGCAAAATGTAACATATACCTTCTTTAACTTCTTGGTTTCCATGTTGAAGATGTTATTGCAGTACCAGAACTTCCACAGTGTTGATTTGCAAGAGGAGGAACTTGATGACATCTTCAACAAAATCAAAGCATCAAGAAAGATTGAAACATCTGTAAATAACTTCGAAAGTACTTCTCAATGTTTGTATCGGAACCTGCAGGAAGATTACAATCCAGAGCTTGGAAAAAGTACAAGAGTCAGATGCCTTAATGAATTCTTGAACGAGTCTCAGCTAGATACGTCAAGTTCAATTTATGATACTAGAGAAGACGTTGGCACGGTAAATTTCTCTAACCAAACACTTTCATTGCTTCAAAGTTCAGAGAAAAATAAAGAAAATTAACATCTTCCACAAACTCTATTGTGAATCAGGACACATTAGCAAACATCTTCTGTGTTTCCCAACAACAAGCTCACAAGGAAGCATATAATGAGGACACATTAGCCAACAGATCCCGCAGTTCTATCGGTAATTTTAACCATTCCATCTTTGATATTCAGGCTCAACAATCAAAGACAAATTTGTATACCCACTTAGAAGATGCCTCTTCTTTGAGGCAACTAGATTTGGAAGAAATCTCAGTATTTGGACATAAAGGGTCCATAACTTTTGAAGGAATGAGGAGAAATTTGCAGACCAAAAAACGAGGAAATGGGCATGAAACGCATTCTAGAAGAGCTTCAACAATGGATTTATGGAAGAACCTTCAGAGCTTGATTAAGGAAGTGTTAGGGAATGCAGATGAGAAATATGTCTCAGAGGTTACAATGATATATCAAATGCTGAATAGAAAAGAAGGATTCAAATATAGAATGCTAAAAGATGTCATACTGGATCAGCTGTTTACGGCTATTTCTAGTTCCGAGGAGAAAACCGTGATTAAAGCATCGATGACCGCACTTACCAAGATCATATCAGTCAATAGAACAGCTCTCGAGGAGGTCAAGAGGAAAGGTTTAAATCTAAGTCATTTAGCAAATGCTCTGAAACAAAATGTGCAAGAAGCAGCTATTCTCATTTACCTGATAAAGCCATCTCCAACAGAAATAAAGAGTCTTGAGCTATTACCAGCTCTTGTAGATGTTGTTGCATCCACTTCTTCTTCCCCTTCTTGTTACACATTTAGACCTTCACCTCCTCTTTTGACGCCGCCTGCGGCATCATTGATGATAATTGAAGTGCTTATTACTGCTTTTGATCATGCTACAAACACAATGCACTTGGCTGCAATCAGTTCTCCTTCTGTCCTTTGTGGACTTCTTGACGTTGCAAAGAGTGGAAACTCAGGGGAATTCATCTCCTTGGCCAGTATTTTAGTAAAATGCATGCAGTTTGATGGACTTAACAGGAAGTATATCTATCAGCATACTCGAGTGGCTCGTTTTGCGCATCTCCTGCAAAGCAAAGACCAAGAAGAAATGTGCATTTCTCTTCAATTTCTTCATGAAGTCCTGAAGATACCAAGGTATACATATCTCAGCCAAAAAACTTCTCTTTTTAGACTACCAGTCACACTTTGTATATGACATACTTGTAATTTCAGGTCGTCAGCTATTAAGATTCTGCAGCAGATAAAGAAAGAAGGAAGTTTTGACATTAAGGATACATTATTGCAGTGTGTCAAACAAGTACAGGGTGATCACAAACTCTTTGCAGTAGATATATTGCTTCAGTTGAATGCACTGGTTAGTTCTAAACATCAAAAACCCATATCTTGTTGATTCAACCTATAAGTAAATATTTACATATCGAAATTTTCTACAGGATTCCCCACCTGAGAACAAAAAGTACAGAAATGAAGCTACCAGAGCTCTACTTGATGCAGTTACATATAGTGAAGGTTCAAATATGCAGCTTTTATCAACATTGATACTTTCGAATATTGGTGGAACTTATTCATGGACAGGAGAACCATACACTGCTGCTTGGCTAATGAAAAGAGGAGGTCTAACTTCTATGTCACATATGAATATGATAAGAAACATCAACTGGTCAGATGAATGCTTACAGGTACCTTTTAACATTCCAGTAATAACTAACAAGCCAAGCCAGAAAGAGTGATCATTATCGAAAACTTCATAATTTTTGCAGGATCCAGGAATAGATGGATGGTGTTGTAAAATAGCAAGACGAATTATTGATACAGGCAAAGCCACGTTTTGTGGTTTACAAGAAGGGCTAAAGAGTCAGAACAAGAGTGTTTCAAAAGCATGTCTTATAGCCATTGCATGGTTCAGTATAGAGATTTCAAAAGGTCCAAATAGTTTAAAATACTCAGCATGTGAAGTCTTACTTGATGAGATAGCACAATTTCTACACCCTGGTTTGGAGCTTGAAGAAAGACTTCTTGCTTGTATATGCATCTACAATTTTAGC